TCGTGCCCAGCTGGGGATGACCTGTCACTCCAGCTGGCGATGACCTCCAGCTCGGGCCCTGGGGTTGACCTGCACTGCAAGCTGGGGATGACCTCCCACTTGTGCCAGCTGGGATGACCTCCCGTTGTGTGCCCAGCTGGGGTTGACCTTCCCGCTTGTGCCCAGCTGGGGATGACCTCCCCGCTCGTGCCCAGCTGGGGATGACCTCCCGCTCGTGCCCAGCTGGGGATGACCTCCCGCTCGTGCCCAGCTGGGGATGACCCCTCCCGTTGTGCCAGCTGAGGTTGACCCCCGCCTGTGCCCAGCTGAGGTTGATCTCCCGCTTGTCCCCAGCTGAGGTCGACCTCCCGCTCGTGCCCAGCTATGGTTGACCCGGCCTGTGCCCACCTGGGGTTGATCCCCCGCCTGTGCCCAGCTGAGGTTGACCCCCGCCTGTGCCCAGCTGGGGTTGACCTCCCGCTCGTGCCCAGCTGAGTTTGACCCCCGCCTGCACCCAGCTAGGGTTGACCTCCCGCTTGGGCGCAGCTGGGGTTGATCTCCCGGTTGTGCCAGCTGGGGATGACCTCCCGGTTGTGCCAGCTGAGGTTGACCCCCGCCTGTGCCCAGCTGAGGTTGACCTCCCGGTTGTGCCAGCTGAGGTTGACCCCCGCCTGTGCCCAGCTGGGGTTGATCTCCCGGTTGTGCCAGCTGGGGTTGATCTCCCGGTTGTGCCAGCTGAGGTTGATCTCCCGGTTGTGCCAGCTGAGGTTGACCTCCCGGTTGTGCCAGCTGAGGTTGATCTCCCGGTTGTGCCAGCTGAGGTTGACCCCCGCCTGTGCCCAGCTGAGGTTGATCTCCCGGTTGTGCCAGCTGAGGCTGACCTCCCGGTTGTGCCAGCTGAGGTTGACCTCCCGCTTGGGCGCAGCTGGGGTTGATCTCCCGGTTGTGCCAGCTGAGGTTGATCTCCCGGTTGTGCCAGCTGGGGTTGACCCCCCGCCTGTGCCCAGCTGGGGATGACCTCCCGGTTGTGCCAGCTGAGGTTGACCTCTCGTTACGTTGACGGTGCGGAACACGTCGACGAAAACACGCAGTGAAGTGCACACATCCTGCGCACCTCCGCTACAAGCGTAGCAATGAGCCTCGAGGTGAAGCCGGCGTTCATACCTAGATACATACGTGCCTTGGCACGGATGCCCATGAGGTATCCTACAGGATGGCTTGCCAATTAGCAATCAGTAAAATCCAACAGGCTGCGAGGCACGGCCTCCACCTGGTCAGGCTCAGGAGCTGGCCAAACAACATCGATTTTTCCAAGGATGGGTAGGCGGCGGTGATTCCGACAGCCACGGTCGGACCGGCGCCGGCCCTCACCTGTGAGGCAGGGCACGAAGAGCCAGTCGCGGTCACAGGAGTCGCCGGTGACCGAGCCCACCTCCGACGCTCCGCCGCCCAGCGAGAACGCCTGCGACGCGTTGTTCACTGCAACATCAGGCGACCAGCTGCAGGACGCCTGTCATGGCAGGCCAGCCCACATCTCGTGAGGACGGCATGTTTTGTCACGTGATATCTGCCTGCTTTGCGCCACGGCGAGGTTTCATGTCACTTCACAACCAACACCATACGTCAGCCTGGTATCATCTCACGTGACTTTAACTGCACCACATGGCAGCAGGTCAAACCCGGTCCCCCGGGAGTGACGTTATTCTCTGTCCTTGAACGTCACGCTGAGTCGGCGTGGTGATGTCGCCCTACCCAGCGTATCGTAGCAGATCATGTGCTCTGAATAATATGCGATGGCCGCGTGTAGCAGCGCGAAGAGGTGTCAGCTTTGTCTTTCGCTCCTCTTTCATCGCATTCAAAACACGTCAGTTCCCTCCACCTTGACGTGGAAAGTGAATCGTTGCAGCTTTCTGTGTGCCGATCTTAGGGGAGGCAGGTGTTACCAGCTCGTCCGGGGGTCACGTGTCATCCCCAGATCACGTGCTCTGGATCTGTCCGTCAGGTCACTCAGTCCTGGAATCTGGATCCGTCCGTCAGGTCACCCAGTCCTGGAATCTGGATCGGTCCGTCAGGTCACTCAGTCCTGGAATCTGGATCGGTCCGTCAGGTCACTCAGTCCTGGAATCTGGATCGGTCCGTCACTAGACACTAAGGTCTACCGGCTGGTGGTCAAGCGTCTGCTGCTCTTTTGCCGGTTGTCACTCAAGTTCGTTGAAAATAGATAATTATGTCTGTTGACAGTACACATTGGTTTGTTAACGGTATACACTCAATGGGGGGGGGGTCCGCTGGACTTAACGATGAACCAGAAAACAACGTCAGCAAACAATGGCGTACGAAGAACGTATCTGTCGGTGGACTCTTTGGTCCAATAATTTTCCTTTCGACAGGTTGATTTCACAAGCAGGGTGTCTAGTTGCCGGCCATTGTGGCTTATGACCTGTCAAAGCTGTTGATTTGCTTCCCCAAGCCTCATGATTGGTGGTTTTTGAGCGCCTCCGTCAGGTTGAGGGCAGTTCAAATAAAAGATGCCGAAGGGCGGGGGGGGGGGGGGAGGGACAGATTGAACTCCACGACTGACACCCGGTCAGGTCAGATATTATCCACTTTGCATACCAGTGGCCCACCTCAAGCCGACTCGGTGTGCAAGCTGTTCAGTTGCCTGCAAATAAGCTAACAGCTGAATCCTGTTCGACTTAATTGAATAAGTTTGAGCCCGCCAAATTTGTCTCAGCACTTATCGCTTGCTATCACCTTGGATAGCCGCAGTTTCCAACGTAAAGCTGCTACATGGCTCATTTTTCGCCTGAAGAAAGCGCGTGAATATTTTTTAATGTTTCGTGTGATATGACATACTTGCAAGTGGTTCACCGCGTTTAACAAAAATTTACTGCAAATAACCTCTTTGTGTGGCTGCTCATAAATGTCAATGATGTTTGTTATATCTGATAAAATCGACGTTCAAATCAATAACAGCCAATACTATTGATTTGTATGATGTACCTCATGTTCATCACGCACAACCATCTGGTTCGAATCTGTCAGATGAAATTAAAGGGGATAGTGCGGTCATGGGGTCAGGTATGTCGCTTCCTATCAGTCCCGATGCAGTCATGGACTCAGGAATGTCAGGCGCCCATCAGCCCTAACGCATTCATGGACCTAGGGTGGCAGCCACCCATCAGTCCCAATGCAGTCATGGGTCCAGGAGTGCCGGCCACCCAACAGCCCCAACGCCGTCATGGGTCTGGGGTGGCAGCCATCCATCAGTCCCAACGCTCTCGTGGGTTCAGGGGTGTCGCTTCCCATGAGTCCCAATTTTCCCACGAGTAGCTATGTACAAGCACCTCGGATGGTTTGACGTGACGAAGCGCCCACTAACCAAGTTAAATACCATACACTCATCAATGGCCAGTGATGATCCATGTATCTCGCAGGCCGATCAGCGGCATTGTATCGGTCTCCCAACCATGGAGTTGGCTGGGTCTCACAAGGACTCGGCGCATTATAGCTCCCTCTAAACGCGTTGATTGCTGTTTACACGCATGCCGTTTGTAGATGCTACGTCACGGGTTTACCTATGTCCTGGCATGGCCTGTACTGTATGCCACAGAAATTCCTCTCCATCCTAACGCAGGCAGTGTAGTCTTGGTTGGCCAGCTCGGCGCCGTTGCTGAAGTCGAAGTTGTAGGACTTGATGACGCCCTGGACGCCGGTGTGGTACTGCAGGCAGGCCGGTTCCGCTGCCGGGGGAGGTGCTGGTGTCACACGCCAGCTCCCCAACGTGGGCTTACAGAGCCGCCGGCTAGAGCCGGGGTCGGCTACGCCAGGCGACCGAGCCGTCGCATCACGTATGCGGCAGGTGCGCGATACGCGCGCTGAAATACAGTGCGGCCGGCCGTTATGAATGTCCTCGGACGGACTTCTGATGCGGCGCGCAGGCCAGCTGGCCCAACCGAGGCTGGCGATGAGCACCGATGACGGATCCGCCCGCGCCGGTCGGCAGCCCCGCCTGGCCGGAACTGCCGAAACCGAGGCCGACTGGCGCCGATCCCAGGGCCGAGGACAACTGGCGCCGATCCCGGGACCGGAGCCGACTGCAACTGGCGCCGATCCCGGGACCGGAGCCGACTGGCGCCGATCCCGGGACCGGGGCCGACTGGCGCCGATCCCAGGGCCGAAGACGACCGGCGCCGATCCCGGGACCGGGGCTATTTACTTGCGCTCCATGCTTCTGAGTCCCTGATGAAGGTGCTTTTCAAGTGAAACTTTTAATGGCATGCTGCATATGTGGCTGCAAGCTGAAAGTTTGGTGTTCTCGGAACTGCGTCGTATAATGCGTAGTCGTACACTGAGTCCGTTCTATGTTTGAGATCAAAGTGGACTGGAAACGAGGCTGTCAGCTGACGTTGACTGGTAACGACACTGTCAGCTGACATTGACTGGTAATAAGACTGTCAGCTGACTCGTTTTCTCGGCACCGTTTTCGTGATGCATGCATTACGGGCGCGTCCGAAGATGACGTGTAACCCGCCGTCCAGCTCTCACCTCTCTACCGTGGAGCTGCCAAGCAAACGGAATGTTTCAATTCTGACTCCAGCATTGATGGTTTTCTGCATTTTGGAGACTCTGAGCGTTTCGGTTCCTCGGAAAGTTCGTGTAACATATACCGATCCTATCTGCTGACAATGTCTGGGAAAATATTATCTGATGAATTGGAGAGGCACATAGGGTGGTGGGTTCAGGATTCACGCAGCAAGCAGCTCTGCTGGGAAGTGTGCCCTGATCCAAGCACTGTCCATGCAAGATATTCGAAATAAATGCAAAAGGTCAGGCTACAGAAAAGGAATGGGCCTCATTGTTCTTCGCTTTGGGCTACTGTCATTCACTTACTCCTGTCACTTTGACCTTGTTGTGGCATGTTGCGACTTATGTCATGGAAAGGCGACCTAAAGCGCACAACTGAGCCAGTGCGAACCCCGAGGCCAAAACATCGGCATCGCGGGTATTCCGTTAAAGGTGACGGTCATGCTAACGTTTTTCATTCGCCTGCCAGCCTCCTCGAAGGTCCTCACGTCAACACATACGCGGCGAGTGTAGGTCATGCAGTCTGCGCCCTCCCTGAGGACGCGGGGCTGCGGCTTCCATCAACAGACAAACAGCTCTGTTTGTGATGCCGACTGTTCTCGGAGACAAAGGAACAGCGTGGTAGCGGGACCCCCGACCCGCCTGAGCCGCAAAGTCGACCGCGTTACCCGAGGAAGGGGAAGAGGAAGGGGGAGGGCGGGTCCCGGTGGCACCACCCCTCCCCCTCCCGCTCTCCCCATTACAGTTCCGCGGCGTCTCTCTGCGTCTTCGTGGGCGCTGCGCAGTGGCCAGCTGCTGCAGACCCGCGGCAGGGGGTCATGAGGACCTACTCATGCGCAGAGACTGGAGGCGGTGGCAGGCTAGATGGCTGGGACGTATTGACTCAAGAACGCGCAAGATTGATAGGTGACATTCACATCTTGCTTACTTTACAAACCACTGCTTTCGTGATTTCCTCTGAGCCTGTGAAATGTAAAATAGAAAAATGTGCCTACCAAACAATGCTCCACGTAAAGCAGCCAGCCTGTCAAATAAACCAGCGTTCCCACAGCGAGGACGAGCTGCTTAACAGCCATGAATAACTAGGAAATAAATGAATAGAAGCCCGTACTCCAGCCCAGCGGACCGCTGGACGCCGTCAGTACCATGCTGGTGGCGGAGATGACCAGACTTCGAACCGGACAGGACTGGACAGAACCACACCGGACCGGAGAGAACTGGACAGGACCGCACCGGACCGGACAAGACTGGACAGAACCACACCGGACCGGAGAGAACTGGACAGAACCACACCAGACCGGAGAAAAGTGGACAGAGCCACATCGGACCGGACAGCATCGAGCTGAATAAGCGCACGCTGCACCGCACCGCGCCCGTCTGGTTGTCTCATTCCGGAGGTCGGCGGGCGGCGGAGGCTGGCTCACCAGGCCCAGGTGATGGGGGCCGCCCCAGTCCGGGCTGGCGGCTCATTCCGGCGGGCGGCGGGCGGCGGAGGCTGGCTCACCAGGCTCGGGTGATGGGGGACGCCCCAGTCCGGGCTGGCGGCTCATTCCGGCGGGCGGCGGGCGGCGGAGGCCGGCTCACCAGGCCCGGGTGATGGGGGCCGCCCCAGTCCGGGCTGGCGGCTCATTCCGGCGGGCGGCGGGCGGCGGAGGCTGGCTCACCAGGCTCGGGTGATGGGGGACGCCCCAGTCCGGGCCGGCGGCTCATTTCGGCGGGTGGTGGGCAGCGGAGGCCGGCTCACCAGGCCCGGGTGATGGGGGACGCCCCAGTCCGGGCCGGCGGCTCATTCCGGCGGGCGGCGGGCGGCGGAGGCCGGCTCTACCAGGCCCGGGTGATGGGGGACGCCCCAGTCCGGGCCGGCGGCTCATTCCGGCGGGCGGCGGGCGGCGGAGGCTGGCTCACCAGGCCCGGGTGATGGGGGACGCGCCAGTCCGGGCTGGCGGCTCATGACGCTCCTGTCAGGCTGCTGTCACAGCCGGCGCGTCACCACGGCCGCTCGCGCCGGCCACTGAATCACGCACCAAGCGGGCGCGGTCGATCCAAGCAGGAACCTCTGAAGCCGAACCCACCGAGCAGGCTGCGCTTCAGGGGAGGGGGGCACCTCACTTATTGGCGGCCGTAAACACAGACATTTATCAAAACACCCAGAGAAGCCGCCGCCGGAGTGTTATGAGCGCGTCGAGAGCGGCAGCTGCGGCGGCGGCGGGGCCACAGGCGCGTCACTCGCCCCTCTGGTCGCGTCATACTGCGGATGGGGGGTTAACCCGCTGAGATCCAAAAAACTAGGATAGTTAGAGACACCAAATTCACATGGTGGATTGACCTGTACATGAGCTCACTCGTGTCGAAGTTTGGGGATCCTAAGTCATAACTCTGGAGTCAAACAAGGTCAAACAAAGTCATAATGCAGATCGATGTCTCATGTGCTTCCATCCCGACTCGTGCAATCGCCGCGAAGGTAGATAACTGCTCTAAGCATATGGTCAATGGTGTTCAATTAAAGCCAATGACCTTTTTGACCTTTATAAGGTCAAGATGCCAAATTGCTACGAGATCGCTTGGATTCTGTCATTCGAACAAGCGTCAATAATTGCACTAGGCGATATGTTCTTAAAAACAAAATGTTGGCCGGTATAATTTTAGGTCAGTGACGTTTTCTGACCTTTAAGAAGTCCATGGAACATGTCTCTTGCGGTCCCTGCCATTAATAAATTCGGAGTGAGCAGTACGAGTTACTCCATCAACTGAGCTTTCGTGTACAAAGGCAGATTGGTTTTGACCTCGGTCTGATCTTTATACCTGGCTCCGGGCCATTGGAATTGGTTATGGGACGATTCTCTAGAGATGCCCTTCGCTGACAGCCGTGGCCTAATTTTGACCTGCCATAGGTAAGGAAACTTGCATGGTGCATGTATTTTTTTAAAAAAATTCAACGATCCCCTATTCAATTCTCTACAGCCATGCAGTCTGGCGCGGCCATGCCGCGCCTTTCGGAAATGATTTTGGAAAAACCTTCGAGGTCAATTTGACCCCCGAACAAAGCGCGTGTTAAAACTGTTGGCACCTGCACTTCACAACCGGGGTAGCAGACGGCCGCCTCGCAGTTATGCAGTATGCGCCGAAATGCAATAAATAAAGGCTTTAAAAGCACAAAATGTGAGAAATATACTTCAAAGGGGATGTTCCACGCTTGATGATATCGAGGCAAGTTTCAGATTTGGCGGGAAATGCTTCACTTGTAGGCACTTGCATGCTTTGAAGTGCTAAAGACTGTTCTAGACAACAAAATTTCACTTTTCAGCACAGTGCTCCTCAGTGCATCATCGTTTGATTGCCTCACAGAGCACAATCATAACGCCAGAGTCGCTGCCAGACTGACCGTGTTAGAGCTGTCACTGTAGCGGCCAGGCTGACTCACTTGTAGCGTTTCAACTCACAGCAAGGCGGGTTGGTTATTTGTGCAAGTGAACTAAACCGACCATCATTATAAGTGCGCTTTGGGCTTTCTCGTGGTGTTCTTGCATACTTTTCTGTGGTGACTGCTTCTTACTTACATTTATATTCTTGGTTACGCTACTTTTCCTAAAATATTCCATCCCCAGCCTCATCTCCATCCTAACGAATACAACTGTCCAAACGCCTGTGACGCATCACAAAATGTACTTCGCATTCGAAACTTGCATTTAAGGCGTTAAATGGTTGAAAGCCAACTGTTGTCCGGTTAAGTGATGATTCATGCTGACGTGCTCCAGGCACTTATAAGTCATTGGCCATTTTCTTCTTTACCCTGGGCACAGCATGGCCATTGGGGAGACAGTACTCGTGTGACGTCTCTATGACGAGCACATTTTACAGCACGCCTACATTTTTGAGCCATCTCAAGTTCGACGACGCGAAAAAGTCTGCACATATTTGCGTGGGCCAGGATCAGGAGAAGAGGATTTGAAGTCACAAAAAGGTTTAACCGCGCAATGCAGTGAATGATATCGAAATTACCATATCAATGCAATACCTCTAAAAAAAAACACTTTAAACACTTAACGTAATCATGATTGCAACAAATCATGCTGTACATACAAAATAAAAAATGCAA